CGCTCTTGACTTTACTGGAATTTGTGGAAATAAAACCAAATCCCAGCCATTGAATTCAACAGAAACATTCTAGTTTGTTTGTAACGTCTAGTGCCTGTGTCTGCAACCTTTAGCTCGGGAGATACCAGTAGCTCTCCACCCTCTTCAATGTAGCTCCCCAAAGGACAACTGCCTGAGTAAATATAAAAATGATTATGATAGGTTAATAGATCAGATTAGATTAGATTCATCTTTATAGTCATTACAAAGTCAGAACAATGCAACAAAATGCATATTAGCATCTAACCAGTAAAGTGCTATAGCCCAAGTAGAGGGTAATGTTTAAAAAGACAGTGGTGATGATCCCGGACACTCAACATTCATGGACATTGGTCGTCTGCCTGATGGACCAAAAGCTCTGTGTTTTTTATTGTTGCATTTCTTTAGTTTGAACTCTAATCTGTGTTGGTGGATTCAATGGTTTTGATACTGTTGTGATTTAGGGCTATACAAGAATTCTTTAAAGTGAATATAAAAACTTATTATACAGCTCCATTGATTTGAATGTAATTTCAAAACAGTCTACCGATCATTATTTCTTGATAACGGACTTTATATACTGTATGTGTTTTATTTGCAGTCATTAAATTAACCTTTCAGCATTCATAACAGTGGACTGAAGTTTATTTTGTGTGTTCAGTTGGCATAAAGCAGGACATAATTGGACAATAAGTACCTTCAGGGCAGAAGCAGCCGGTTGGCCCTGACGGTGTAACAGGCCGTTTTAAACCCCCTGGCCAGTTTACACCCCGGGGTTAAAATAGCCTAGGCCAGAATACACCCCGGGGTTTATTCTGGCCTAGGCTATTTTAACCCCCTTTAGGCCAGATTAACCCCCCTCTTGTTTCATCTAATAATAATAAAATATACGTTATTGAATATATTGTCAAAACTTCAAAATGATTTAAAATCATTTAGAAGTATAGTTTGTTAATTAATTCCTGCAGCCCGAATAAGTATGATTGCTTTTCACACTTTGCTTGTGATGGGTAGATCCATCACAAGCAAAGTGTGAAAAGCAATCACACTTATTCGGGTACTTCTCACATGTTTCATGTGATAACTCATCTTATGGGGTTTTCACACCGGATAATTCTGCGTCGACTTTCAATGCAGAGTCAATGGTGACATGTATGTGCATCTCGGGATGCACGCACGGACTGTGCGGCAGAGGTGCAAATATTGCTGAGCGTTTCCGTGGGACGCACGTGCAGCGACCTATCAGAGAGCCGCAAAGTGGTCACAGGGACATTAGTGGTCTGAGCGAGCAGACTGAACATACTGTAAACAGCCAAAACAGGAGCTACACCAGGAGCTACACCAGGACTAAACCAGGACTGAACCAGGACTAAACCAGGGTTGACAATGGGGGACATAGTTCTTGTGAACATATTATTTTTTATGCTCCCGTGACTTTATGCAACTGCTTCGAGCGTGTTCGCCGATGCGGAAGTACCGTTTAATAATGAAATTAACTTATGGCGCACATCCGTGAACACATACTACTGTTTTATAAAGTCACCTCCGTGAACACATACTGCTGTTATATAAAGTAAATTGCTTCGAAACACTGCATCGGAGCGTGTATCAAAACAACCGGTCATGTGACAAACGTGTCAGTGTCTCGGACTCCTCAGCCGCTGCTTCACTGCTGCACTGCTTCACTGCTTCACTGCTTCACTGCTTCACTGCTTCACTGCTTCACTGCATATCAATGGTGTCGGTGTTGAAGAGTTTCTTTGGCTTGATGTGTTTCCTGACTTCTCATTTGATCATGGAAGAGTTACATCTCGCTTTCTCGGTGTGACTGCTGATGCGTCAACTGTTGTTTTTGAATAAAAAACCTGTGATGTACGCACAGAGTGCAGTTCTTTTTTTTCTGAAAATTGTTTTATATTTAAATATAATTGTATTAATTATAAGGATTTCTTAAAAATGGGCATTTTATTGTTATTATATAAAATGAAAGGGGGGGTTAATCTGGCCTATGGAGGGTTAAAATAGCCTAGGCCAGTTTATACCCCGGGGTTTATTCTGGCCTAGGCTACTTTAACCCCGGGTATATTCTGGCGGGGGGTTAAACCGGCCTGCTACACCGGTACTTTTCCGATAATGACCTGCGTTCTATACATTATCCCTTACATACATGTGAGACAGTACAAACCTCAATGGATAGTGCATGTGGTGCATGTGCCACCATGAGGACCGAAATATTAGCAGAACTCGCCTATATTTGGGCATCAGCTGGTCCTCTCGGTTCTGAGCAGTGGACGTGCTCCCAGGATGCTTTGGGCCAAATATGTGTGTGTGGCTCTCATGCACGTGCACAGAGGGGCTCGGCGGCGCTCTGACCAAGAGCAGCTGTAGAGCGGGAAACGATCGAGCAGAGTTTGTGGCACTAAAGTGTGCCACAAACGAAAGCAGTAGAAAACCGAAGGATTTAAGAAAAAACAAGTTCAGGATTACAAGGGACACTAAAATCCTCACAAAATCCGACCTTTATGAAAGCTGTAGGTTCTCTGGGTGGCCCATGTGAATTATCTGGTTTAGTCTGCAGTACCGCGAGAATCCCCCGAGCACGTGGGTCCTACAGCTCCAAGCTAGTAATAATCTATCCAGTTATTATAATAGATCCATGATAAAACACTACATACCAAAAAATTATACAGTCCCAATTCGGCAAAATTGATTAAAAAACATGTTTACGGTCTGAAAACTAGATTTGCCAAAAGATACAATAGACGTTACATTTGTTAAGTTTTTTCTGGGAATAACACTAAAGCTGCTTGTTCCATTGGTTTATGAATGTCAAAATGTTTTTAAATCACATTAAAAACGACTTCCAACAATCCAACATTAATTCAATGTAGCACAACAATTTGTCCAAAAGTCGTAGCTCTCTGCCAGAGTTGTCCTGACAACAGTAGCTCTCCAAGGGAAAGGTTGACTCCTGGTTTAGTGTTTTTATGTCATCTCTGGTTTATACTGAGGACTTCTGCCACAGAGAGCCACACGGTGGCTGAGTGGTTAGCACTCTCGCTTCTCAGCACGGAATACAGGTCGAACAGGGCCTTCTGAGTGTTGTTTGCATGTTCTTCCTGTGTCTGCATAGGTTTCCTCCAGGTGTTTCAGTTTTCTCCAGGTGCTCCGGTTTCCCCTACCACTAAAAACATGTACAATGCATCTGAATTTTTTCCGTGTGTGGAGAAAATTGAACAAAATTTGAACTCTGATATAGTGAAGCGCTATATAAATAAATATGACTTACTTAGAGTGTGTCAATGTTGGCTGAGTGGATAGCACTCTCGCCTCTCAGCAAGAAGGTCCTGGGTTCGAATGCCGGTCGGACCAGGGCCTTTCTGAGTGGAGTTTGCATGTTCTCCCCTACCACTAAAAATATGTCCAATAGTTCTGGCATGCGCCTCCTATACTGGCGACCCCGCTCCCATCTCTGTGTGGAGCGAGAGGAGAAGTGCCCAAAAAATAACAATTGTAAACCGCTTTGAGACTCAGATGTGCAGTGAAAAGGCGGTATATAAATAAAGATTACTTACTTACTTACAAATGGCAAATAAAGTGATCTCTACAGAGTTCAGCTTCGTTCTGGAGCAAACAGGACTCAGGCTCCAGCTCCCGGCCCCGGTGAGGCAGAGAGCCAGACCAGAGAGCCAGTTCCACTTTGACCTCAGACTGAAAGCGTTCGGGCAAATACGTAACATAAACATGACAGTGGTTGTTGGTATTTGTCTTTGGATTTGAATAATGATGAATTGAGTTTGTGTCTGAACCATGTTCCAAAGGTCAGTCTCCTTCAGATAAGACGGGGTCGAGCGTCTGGGACAAAGACTAATCTGTATAACGCTCCTTGTAAATAGAATGCTCCTGTTTCATTCATTCACACTGTAATTCAGAAACACTGCAGCTCGAGTCAGGACTAGAACCAGGAAGTACCATCACATTAGTCCCGGTCTCAGGTCTCTGCACTGGCTCCTGTGGCTCAGAGAATAGACTGAACCAACTCGGACTCTGAGGAGCACAGGGACTGGCCTCCTGCTGCGAAAACGAGGAGCACAGGGACTGGCCTCCTGCTGGGACTCTGAGGAGCACAGGGACTCTCTCTCCCTCTCTCTTTCCTTAGTTCTCTCTCTCCCCCTCCTTTCCTCTTTTTCCTCTCTCTTTCTTCTCCTTTCCTTTTTTTCTCTCTCTCTCATCAGATCTATCTCTGCTCTCTCTCTCTCCTTCCCCCTCTCTCTCAGCTTTCTCTCTCCCTGTTTTTCTCTCTCTCTCATCAGTTCTCTCTCTTTTCCTCTCTATGCGCTCTCTCTTCTCCTTCCCTCCTTTACTCATCAGATCTCTCTCTGCTCTCTCCCTCTCTTTATCTGTCTTCAGTTTTCTCTCTCTCTTTCCCTCTCTGCTCACCACTCTCTCCCCCCTCTCTCTCCTTATCTCTCTCATCAGATCTCTCTCTTTCTCTCTCTCTCTCTCTCTCCCCTCTCTCTCCCTAGCTCTCTCATCACTTCTCTCCCTCTCCCTGTCTCTCTCTCATCTGTTCTCTCTCTCCCTATCTCTCATCACTTCTCTCTCTCTCTCTCAACCCTCTCTCTCTCCCTATCTCAAACATGAGTTCTCTTTCTCTCTCCACCCCTCTCTCTCTCCCTAGCTCTCTCACCAGTTCTCTCCCCAGTTCTCTCCCTCTCCCTCTCTCTCTCATCAGTTCTCTCCCTCTCTCTGTCTCTCTCTCATCAGTTCTCTCCCTCTCTCCCTGTCTCTCTCTCATCAGTTCTCCCCCCCTCTCTCCCTCTCCCTGTCTCTCTCTCAGTTCATCCCCAGTGCACATGTTCTACCTGTTGGCAGCCGCAGCCTCAGTCCTTCCAGGCCACAGTCTGTGAGTTATGACCGAGTTAAACGCGACACAGAAAAGTGGATCCACAAACTGAAACAATTACCTCCTCAGACATAACTCATCTGTCGTTCTGTCGTTCTTTCGCTCTGTCGTTCTGTCGTTCTGTCGTTCTTTCGCTCTGTCGTTCTGTCGTTCTGTCGTTCTGTCGTTCTTTCACTCTGTCGTTCTGTTGTTCTGTCGTTCTGTCGTTCTTTCGCTCTGTCGTTCTGTCGTTCTGTCGTTCTTTCACTCTGTCGTTCTGTTGTTCTGTCGTTCTGTTGTTCTTTCGCTCTGTCGTTCTGTCGTTCTGTCGTTCTTTCGCTCTGTCGTTCTGTCGTTCTTTCACTCTGTCGTTCTGTTGTTCTGTCGTTCTGTTGTTCTGTCGTTCTGTCGTGAGGAAAAGAGAATATTTAGGAAAGTAAAGACCACTGCAGCTCGACCTACGCTGCAAAAATATAAGGTCATCATTTATTTTCTCATTCCAAGGGAGATATTTCTGTATCTTTTTAAAACAAGATAATTTTTCTTTCTCCCTTTGGCAAATATTGTTTTAAGGAAGTCTAAATGTGATGATATTAAGATACATTTTGTACATTTTGAGCCGTTTTGTACTTATTTCTCATCACTTTTTGCAGTGTGAGGTGCTGGGCGTATTCATCCTGCTCCCGTGTGTCCAGTTCTGTCTCAATTTGAACAGAATGCAGTAGCTTTTGTCGGGATAATTAAATAAGAAGCTCTGTATAGATCCGCTGCTCCTTCACAATGACAAATGAGTCCTTATATTTGGGGGAGGTGTTTATGTTTTGCTTTGGTTTGATCAGACGGGAAACGTTTAGGTGATCTTGAATATTTTTGTGTAATTGTGGAAACTAAAAGGTGGACTTGGAAGTGGACCATGTTCCTCAACGTTGAATAGATAACATTATTAAACATCGTAAAGTGAAAATTGGACATTTTTTATTTTTGCAGTATTTTCAAATTAATAGAATATTATTGCTATTAATAGATAGGTAAATGGATGGATGGATGAATGGATGGATGGATGGATAGATATAGATAGATAGATAGACAATTGCCAGAAAGATAGACTTACCAGGATAACAGAACATCTATGTGCAACACCTTTGAAGCTAAGCAGTGCAGGGCTTGGTTAGTACTGTGATGGGAGACCTCTGGAAATACCAGGGTTAACAGTGCCAAATTTAGTAGTGCCAAACTTCTTATTATTAAGGGGGTTGTATAACTCAGATCAGAAATGGCACGATGGATAAAATAACTTCTGTCGACGGCCGACATCACCTGTCTGAGAATCAGCCAATCAGAACGAGCTTCTCAGAGCAGCCAAAACAAACAGGGATTGTAGTGAATGCTGCTTCTCTCAGGGTTTTAAAACTGCACAGCTCCAAACGAAACATTAAGAGATGAATGGATCCACATGGAAAGAAAGAGAGAGTCAAGTCCAAATCTCTGGTCCAGGAGTCCAAGTCAAGTCCAGGTCTCTGAGAGTAAATGTGTTCACAATCTAAGATACTTCCCTTCGTGGCTGTTATCGGGTGAACATTATTTGTTCAGATTAAGAATATTCCACCCAAAATAGTTTATTTAGAGTTTGGAAAGAAAAGCATGTTTTTAAATGTATTTTTTGACAAATATACAAAGCACAAAATGCCTTAGGGTTAGGGTTAGGGTTAGGGGGGTTAGTCCTGTCTCATCGAAACCTCCTGCTTCCGATGCTGTCAGATATCTGAAGCTGAGCAGAGCAGGGCCTAGTTAGAACTGTGATGGGAGACCTTTGGGAACTCCAGGTGCCGCCATAGACTGTAAATATTAACGGACGTAGTCACGCCTATCTCCGCCCGTTCAAACTAATGGGCCAAAAATGTTACTCTACTGGAGCTATCCAAAATGGCCGCGAGTGGTCCCTCCTACAAGAAAATTGTGAAAAAATGCATCTGCGCATGCGTCAGCTGGCGAGAGCTCCATTCATTTAAACGAGTGCCTTCAAAAATTCACATCGATTAAAACGTGGTCCAAAAAAAATCCACCCCCCTCAGCATTGACACACATGTGGAACGGAGCTTTGGGCCAAGAGCCAACTTTTGGACCATCCTGTAAAGACGTTTTTGAGAGGTAAGAAGATGCTATATGTTAGCATTGGCCAATTCTTATTCCGGGTCCACCCCCATCGGCCCGGGGTGGTATTGCAAGCATGTCAGCGCACGTCATTTTGGCCACTTTTGAGCTGGGATCCGCCCCCACTTGGTGCCACAAGTGGGGCGTCTGCAGCTGTAAAATACCAGACTTTTGCTACAGCTTTCACAAAGGAGGATTATTGAAGATTTTAGTGTCCCTTGTCATCCTGAACTTTACATTTTAGCATGTGATACTACTGTACATGTGAGCATGTGGTACTACAGTACATGTTAGCATGTGATACTTCTGTACATGTTAGCATGTGATACTACTGTACATGTGAGCATGTGGTACTACAGTACATGTTAGCATGTGATACTACTGTACATGTGAGCATGTGATACTACTGTACATGTGAGCATGTGATACTACTGTACATGTGAGCATGTGATACTACTGTACATGTGAGCATGTGATACTACTGTACATGTTAGCATGTGATACTATTGTACATGTGAGCATGTGATACTACTGTACATGTGAGCATGTGATACTACTGTACATGTGAGCATGTGATACTACTGTACATGTTAGCATGTGATACTATTGTACATGTGAGCATGTGATACTACTGTACATGTGAGCATGTGATACTACTGTACATGTTAGCATGTGATACTACTGTACATGTTAGCATGTGGTACTACAGTACATGTGAGCATGTGGTACTACTGTACATGTGAGCATGTGATACTACTGTACATGTTAGCATGTGATACTATTGTACATGTGAGCATGTGATACTATTGTACATGTGAGCATGTGATACTACTGTACATGTGAGCATGTGATACTACTGTACATGTTAGCATGTGATACTACTGTACATGTGAGCATGTGATACTACTGTACATGTGAGCATGTGATACTACTGTACATGTTAGCATGTGATACTATTGTACATGTGAGCATGTGATACTATTGTACATGTGAGCATGTGATACTACTGTACATGTGAGCATGTGATACTACTGTACATGTGAGCATGTGGTACTACTGTACATGTGAGCATGTGATACTACTGTACATGTGAGCATGTGATACTACTGTACATGTGAGCATGTGATACTACTGTACATGTGAGCATGTGATACTACTGTACATGTTAGCATGTGATACTATTGTACATGTGAGCATGTGATACTACTGTACATGTGAGCATGTGATACTACTGTACATGTGAGCATGTGGTACTACAGTACATGTGAGCATGTGATACTATTGTACATGTGAGCATGTGATACTACTGTACATGTGAGCATGTGGTACTACAGTACATGTTAGCATGTGATACTACTGTACATGTGAGCATGTGATACTACTGTACATGTGAGCATGTGATACTACTGTACATGTGAGCATGTGATACTACTGTACATGTTAGCATGTGATACTATTGTACATGTGAGCATGTGATACTACTGTACATGTTAGCATGTGATACTATTGTACATGTGAGCATGTGATACTACTGTACATGTTAGCATGTGATACTACTGTACATGTGAGCATGTGGTACTACAGTACATGTGAGCATGTGGTACTACTGTACATGTTAGCATGTGATACTACTGTACATGTGAGCATGTGATACTACTGTACATGTGAGCATGTGATACTACTGTACATGTTAGCATGTGATACTATTGTACATGTGAGCATGTGATACTACTGTACATGTTAGCATGTGATACTACTGTACATGTTAGCAGCATGTGATACTACTGTACATGTTAGCATGTGATACTACTGTACATGTGAGCATGTGATACTACTGTACATGTTAGCATGTGATACTACTGTACATGTGAGCATGTGATACTACTGTACATGTTAGCATGTGATACTACTGTACCTGTTAGCATGTGATACTACTGTACATGTTAGCATGTGATACTACTGTACCTGTTAGCAGCACGAACTACATGTGGCTAAAAAAAAAATGAAGTGACAAAATGACTTTAGTCCTGGAGCTGGATGAGGCCTTGTGGGGACAGGTGCAGCAGAAACTCGGCCCCATCATCAGAGGCAGCAGTGACTGATTTATGTGTGAGTGATATAAACACTGGAACATTACGGTGATGAGTTACGAGCTGAGATGGACTGACAGCGGTGACAAGGGGTGGAGCCAGTTAACTGTAGACACGTGGAGACTTTAGTGCGTGTAATTAAAACAGTGGGTCTCAGAGGAGATGAGTGAAGGATTTACACATGAACCAAACTCTTTTTGCCTCAATCATTTTGGTTTGAGGACTGACAGCTGCTTTATGTGATTTTTGGTAAATAGTTCCTATTAGGGGTGGGGTTAAATTGAGCTTTTTTCTCGATTCTTATAAAGTATTATGTTTCCAACTGCTGTTTCAAAACACTGTTGCAGGAACTATGTGTACAATCTACAGCCATCACAGCTATAGATCTTTAGAATAAAAAGCTGATCAGAGAGAGAGACAGAGACCAGAGAGCAAGACAAGAAAGAGAGACCAGAGAGAGACCAGAGAGAGATACCAGAGAGAGAAACCAGAGAGAGAGATCAGAGAGAGAAACCAGAGAGAGAGATCAGAGAGAGAAACCAGAGAGAGAGATCAGAGAGCGAGACCAGAGGGAGAGACCAAAGAGAGACCAGAGAGAGATAACAGAGAGAGAGACCGGAGAGAGAGTCCAGAGAGAGAGTCCAGAGAGAGATCAGAGAGAGAGGCCTGAGAGCGAGACCAGAGGGAGAGACCAAATAGAGACCAGAGAGAGACCAGAGAGAGAGAGACCAGAGGGAGAGACCAAATAGAGACCAGAGAGAGACCAGAGAGAGAGAGACCAGAGACAGACCTGAGAGCAAGACCAGAGAGAGAGAAGCCAGAGAGAGAAACCAGAGAGACCAGAGACAGAGACTAG